AACCCTGAACGGCTCTCAGGGTGGTTCACAGTATTGGCAACAATTCAATGCCATTGATAAAAAAAACAATATAAAACATCAAAATTGACCCTCCCCTGATAAAACATTAAACATTATTAAACACAGCACATATCACACAAAGACATAGCTGTTGTCTGTAAACAGTCCTGGGTCATTGCACTTTCAACTCTGGACACAACTTAGGATGCATCTACACTGGAGAATTAATGCAGTCTTTAGTTGCACTTTAACTGCCATGGCTCAATGCTATGTATGGAATCCTTATTGTACAGTAGAGTCTCGCTTATCCGACTTTCACTTATCCGACATTCCGTCTTATCCGACATTCGCTCTTATCCGACGCTCCCCTTTCCCCCCAGCATTTTCCCTTCAGTTAAAGGAGTGCTCCCCAACTTTCTCTCCATTCCCAATAAGTGAAAAAGGCAAGACAAGGAGAATGAAAAGTAAAAGGGAGGAAAGGGAGAAAAGAGGCAGGACCGGAAGCGGAAGTGTCCTCCCTCCTTCCCTCCGTGATTTCCATGCTTCTCTTCCGCATCTGGGCTGCTCTAGCACCGAGTTGCCTTGCCTTCACCCTTTGAGTCCTTGTTGTTGGTATTCTAGGTGTCTAGCACCGTTTCGGACGGGTAACAGGAGGAGACTCCGTATTATCCGACATTTCCACTTATCCGACGTTCTGCCGGCCTGTTTATGTCAGAAAAGTGAGACTCTGTTGTAGTCTTATAAAGCCTTCTCTGCCAAAGAGTGTTGGTGCCTCGCCAAATTACAGATCCCAAGATTCCATTGCATTGAGCCATGGCAGATAAAGTGGTGTCAAACTGCATTAATTCTATGGTATAAATGCTCTCAAACTCAGAATAGCCACTGACCATGCTAAATGGGGGATTCTGAGAATTACGCTATGTAACAACATTTCAAATTTTTTCTGTTCCTGGTTTGAAAGTATTATTTCCTGCTCATTATGCAATCTTTACTTTGAAAGCAGTTGATATATTCCAGAGACTTCGTTCTTTGTGCCACAAACTATGTTTAATTGGTTGGGACTCATCAAAAAACTTGAGCAAAATGTGCTATAGCAGGAAGTCTCTCCCGCAAAGACAAAGTTTGTCCAGTTTAATAAACTTTTCCCATGTTTTAATGATAGAACAATTTTTTTTCGTGTCAGGAGTGACTTGAGAACCTACAAGTCGCTTCTGTTGTTAGAGAATTGGCTGTCTGCTGTCCAGGGGACGCCCAGATGTTTTGGTGTTTTACACCTTCCTTGTGGGAGGCTTCTCTCATGTTCCCACATGGAGAGCTGGAGCTGACGGAGGGAGCTCATCTGCACTCTCCCTGGATTCGAATCTCCGACCTATCGGTCTTCAGTTCTGCCAGCACAAGGGTTTAATCCATTGCGCCACCGGGGGTTCCAGAACCAATTAGGAAATGACATTTATAGCCCTGGAACAAAAATCATATTACATATTATTATGATTACATATTATACTTATATAACAGAATAATATAATATAAAATAATATAACATAATATAATAATGTGCTGCAGGATGATATCCCTCCCAACTTTGTGCAGGTTAATAAATTTTCCCCATGTTTTGATAATAGACACTTTTAGGAAATGGCATTTATAATCCAGTAACAAAAATCATTGTGTTACATAGTGTAATATGATATAATTGTCATACACCAGAGCAAAACACCTCTGACCTTAAACACCACACCAGCTTGGTAAAATCAACAAGCAGTTTATTGAAGAATATATGTAGTCATAGCAGTAAAATTAGCAAAACCTGTTCCAAAAAAAGTTTAGTCCATGAGCTTCAAGGCAAAACAAGGTACATAGGTATAAAAATCCATGAAACAAGGCACAAGAACCCATGAAACAAGGCAGCATGAAAATTCCATACACAAATCTGGAGCCTGGCAAAAACTTGGTACATGAAACTAAGAACACTTGAAAGCAAGACCATCATGAAATTCCAGCGTTGACCCAACTGAGGCAACTCTTTCCCATGAATCAATACAAGGCTTTTCCAGATCCCAAAACCAAAAGGAAAGCATTTCTCTTGACCTTACACCCAGATAAAGGTTTCTTATCTCTCTTTTCCTATAAACAAACTGATCTTCTTTGCACCTGAGTACTCTCTCTGTTTACAAAAGCCTTGCTTGCTATCTACACTCTCATTGACTCTCATTAACTTCTAAACCTGACAAATCATCTTTCTTGCTCTGAGAAAGACTGTGAAGGGCCTCTCCCAGGAATGTGACCTTGTGAATTTTCCTGAGACAGCTCGGGCCTCTCATCTGAGCTTAACTCAGGCCGACGCAAACTTTCATCCCCATTGCCAACAGACCCAGGCCCACCATCAGGAACATCATCCCCATTCCCATCTTGAACATCAGACACAATCACAGGCTGAACAGGCCAACATATAACAATGATAATATAATAATAATATATCATTATTATTATATAATATAATGTTATAATAATATAACAAATTATCCCCATATTTTGATAATATTTTAATAATAGAATTACTTATCTCACCTAGGGTTGTAACTATTGGGTTTGGCGTCATGTTAGCTATCCCAAGTCCCCTTGGGGAGATGGTGGCGGAGTATAAGTAAAGTTTTATTATTATTATTATTATTATTACTATTACTATTATTATTATTAATTAGTAAATGAGATTGATAACCCAGGAACAACGAGCGAGCTATATAGTGTATTCATAGCTTTGGTACAGTGACGTTAACAATATGTTGTATTTCTCCATGTCAAGGAAAGATATTTTCCTGGAAGACACACCAAATTAGCAAGGAAACTGCATGTTTTTCCTCGTGCTTCCATCATTGGAAGAAAGTAACCTTCCTGACCCGTTGCTCTTCCTGCTTTGGCCAATTTCTCTTTCCTGGGATGCAGAAAGTTGACTGACTCCACTACGAGTCGCAGCCCTCCTCCCGTTGCTTCTCATCCTAATCCTTAATCTTTCCCTGTGCTAATCCTATAAATACTCCATTAATCCTATCTGTCTAGTTCCGTCTCTGTCACCCTTCTTTGTTGTTACGTGCAGAGTGCCGGGTCGAGAAAGAAATCAAAGCAGACTTTCCCATTGCAATACTTCATAGGATTCAGTGCTGCCGCCACTGCCTTTGCTATTCTACCTGGAAACAGGTGTGTAGACGTTGCTGGCAAATAAAAAAAGATCTCTAGAGCTAGGGAATAGAGTCTCAAATCTTTCCGTAGTAGGAATAATACCATCTTGAACCCCATCTACACCAAGCATGGGCCAACGTCAGCCCTCCAGGGGTTTTGGAATTCAACTCCGGCTGTTAGGAATTGTGGGAGTTGAAGTCCGAAACATCCAGAGGGCCTGCGTTGGCCTGTGCCTGATCTACACTGTAGTATTAATGCAGTTTAACACCACTTCAACTGAAATGGCTCAATGCTATGGAATAACACTATGTAACACGATTTTTGTTCCTGGGTTATAAAATTATATAATAATAATAATAATAATAATAATAATAATAATAATAATAATAATGTATTATATTATTATTATAATATTATTATATTACACCATGTAACACTTTTTTCGTTCCTAGGTTATAATATTATTATATTATGTATTCATATATTATATTATATGAACTCTCTGCCCCGGAGTGTGGTTGAGGCTCCTTCTTTGGAAGCTTTTAAACAGGGGCTGGATGGCCATCTGTCAGGGGTGATTTGAATGCAATATTCCTGCTTCTTGGCAGGGGGTTGGACTGGATGGTCTCTTCCAACTCTTTGATTCTATGATTCTATGATTAAAGGAGAGGCAGTGGGCGGGGTCATGCAAATTCCACAGCAATGGAGAGAGAAAGGAATCCTGGAATGTCCATTCTGGAGGGAAAACAGGAAATCCAGGATGAAATTGTCCCTGAATGAATGCCTTCACTTGGGTGGGGGCAGGGCAGTATTGTGTTTGCGGAGGACATTGGCAGGGCTCTTGGACATGTGGATGGTGCTCACTTTAACTGCAGTGTCCCTGCAGGGAGTGCTCTGGTGGATAATCAGCATTGTGGGTTAAAGCTGCTTGTGGAGGCTGGCTCTGTATGTGGATACCTCTACCACATACACATTCGCACTTTTAGATAGATAGATTGCCATCTGGCAGATAAGGCGCGGGTGGCAAAGGTGAGGACAAACAGACTGAAAGATAGTTTTTATCCTAGAGCTGGCATTGGGAGCTGTGTGGTGGTGGAGGGAGTGCGGAGGGATAAGTGTGATGTTTTGTGGTGTGTGTGGGGGAAGGCATAGAATCATAGAATCATTGAGTTGGAAGAGACCTGGTGGACCATCCAGTCCAACCCCATTCTGCCAAGAAACAGAAAAAATGCGTTTAAAGCACCCCCGACAGATGACCATCCAGCCTCTGCTTCAAAGTCTCCAAAGAAGGAGCCTCCACCACACTCTGTGGCAGAGAGAGAGTTCCACTGCTGACCAGCTCTCACAGTCAGGAAGTTCTTCCTCATGTTCAGGTGGAATCTCCTTTCCTGTAGTTTGAAGCCATTGTTCCATTGTGTCCTAATCTCCAGGGCAGCAAAAAGCAAGCCTGTTCCCTCCTCCCTATGCTTTCCGCTCAATCTTGATCCCTGGCCCTCATCCTGTCTCCTCTCAGCCTTCTCTTCTGCAGGCTAAACATGTCCAGCCCTTTCAGCCACTCCTCATTGGGCTTGTTCTCCAGACCCTTGATCCTTTGAGTCGCCCTTTTCTGGACACCTTCCAGCTTAGAGTCAACATCTCCCTTCAGTTGCGGTGCCCAGAATTGGACACAGTATTCTAGATGTGGTCTGACCAAGGCAGAATAGAGAAGTAGCATGTAATTTTGTTGTGCAATGTATAATGACAAATAAAGCTATTCTATTCTATTCTATTGATCTCCACAGTTTGTTCCCACCTAACTCTCTCTCTTTGCTCTCTACCCACAGGGACGTACCAGGGCCAGTGGGCCGGCGGGATGCGCCAGGGCTACGGCGTGCGGCAGAGCGTTCCGTATGGCATGGCCGCAGTCATCCGCTCGCCGCTGAGGACCTCCATCAACTCCCTGCGCAGCGAGCACACCAACGGCTCAGCACTACACCCGGACTCTTCCCCCGCGGTGGCCGGGAGCCCCGCCGTCTCCCGGGGCGGTTTCGTCCTGATGGCCCACAGTGATGCTGAGATCCTCAAGAACAAGAAGAAGGGCCTATTCCGCCGGTCCTTGCTGAGCGGGCTCAAGCTACGCAAGTCTGAGTCCAAGAGCTCGCTGGCCAGCCAGCGGAGCAAGCAGAGCTCCTTCCGCAGTGAGGCCGGCATGAGCACGGTCAGTTCCACGGCCAGCGACATCAACTCCACCGTCAGTCTTGGCGAAGGGGAGGCCGAGCTCTCCGTCGTCGAGGACGACATCGACGCCACCACCACCGAGGTCTATGTGGGCGAGTGGAAGAATGACAAGCGGTCGGGCTTCGGGGTCAGCCAGCGCTCGGACGGGCTCAAGTACGAAGGGGAGTGGGCCAACAACAAGCGCCACGGCTATGGCTGCATGACCTTCCCCGACGGCACCAAAGAGGAAGGGAAGTACAAGCAGAACATCCTGGTGAGCGGCAAGAGAAAGAACCTTATCCCCTTGCGGGCCAGCAAGATCCGCGAGAAGGTGGACCGCGCCATGGAGGCTGCCGAGCGGGCCGCCACCATCGCCAAGCAGAAAGCCGAGATAGCGGCATCCAGGTAAGGCTTCGGCCCAAAGGTCAGCAAGAAGAAAGTGGTATCTGGAGTCCAATGGTCATTGGGGTTGTGTTGTCGAAGGCTTTCATGGCCGGAATCACTGGGTTGCTGTGAGTTTTTCAGGCTGTATGGCCATGTTCCAGCAGCATTCTCTCCTGATGTTCCGCCTGCATCTGTGGCCAGCATCCTCAGAGGTTTGTTCATAGGTCTGTTGGCAGTGAGTCAAGTGGAGTGCATATATGCTGGTGAATAATGTCCAAGGTGGGAGAAAGAGCCTTTGTCTGTCTGAAGCAAGTGTGAATGTTGCAATTCACAAGATCATTTATTTATTTATTTATTTGCTGTACTTATACCCCACCCTTTTCACCCCACCCGTGAAGGGGGACTCAGGGCGGCTTACAAACTATGGCAGTAATTCAATGCCAGATTCAGACAATAACAATAACAGTAAATACAGTATGGGCCCCCCTGGGTGGCACAGTGGGGTAAACCGCTGAGCTGCTGAACTTGCTGAACAAAAGGTTGGTGGTTCAAATCTGGGGAGTGGGGTGAGCTCCCACTGTTAGCCCCAGCTTCTGCCAACCTAGCAGTTCGAAAACATGCAAATGTGAGTAGATCAATAGATACCACTTCTGCTGGAAGGTAATGGCGTTCCATGCAGTCATGCCGGCCACATGACCTTGGAGGTGTCTACGGACAAATCCGGCTCTTTGACTTAGAAATGGAAATGAGCACCACCCTCAGAGTCGAGCAAGACTAGACTTAATGTCAAGACTTAATGTTTACCTTTACCTAAACACAATATTATGGAACTGTAAAAACATACACATATCAATTATAAATAATATATAAAATGATTAAATACGTATCTACTGTCTAGCACCAACTTAGCTTTATAAACGATAGCGTTGAGTAGCCTTGCAGCTGCAAAGTCAATCAATGAAGGTATTTGCATAATAGTAGCCTGGCCATTGTTGCCTGGAGGCGTCCTCTGTTTGGGAAGTGTTCACTGACACTTGATTGCTGTCTGGAGTTCCCCTGATTCTGAGTGGTGTTCCTTATTCACTATCTTGCTTCTGGTGTTTTGTAATACTGGTAACCAAATTGTGTTCATTTTCGTGATTTCCTCCTTTCTGTTGAAGTTGTCCACATGCTTGTGGATTTTTAATGGCGCCTCTGTGTAGTCTGCTCCCTTCAAAAAGGACAGGAGTGGGAAAAGAGAGGCGAAAGAAAGAAAAAAATGGGAAAAGAAAGAAAGAAAGAAAGAAAGAAAGAAAGTGAAGGAGGTAGGAAAAAAAACAGAGGGAAGGAGAAAAGGAAGAAAGAGAGGTAGGCAGGACAAAGAGAGGGGTTGCTAACAGCGTGGCATCATAGTTTGAAAATTGGGACTGTCACGATGGACCCATTGGGTGCCTTTAGGCATGTTGCATTGGTTGATTGATTGATTGATTGCTGTATTTGTATATTGCCCTTCTCAGCCTATTCTGCGACTCAAGGCGGTTTACAACAAATCAGTACACATAGTATCAAAATACAAATTTAAACATTAAAAACAATATAAAACCAAAACAGAACAATAAAACCAACATCATTCGCATCTCCTTGTTAAAACATTTTCCAATTCCATCGTCTAGTGAGTCTAGTCATTCCATTTCCTATGTCAGTTCCTCTGCATTTGTAAACGCTTGCTCAAACAACCATGTCTTAACTTTTCTCCAAAACGTTAAAAGGGAAGAGAGCTGATCTGATATCCCTAGGGAGGGCGTTCCATAGCCGAGGGGCCACCACGGAGAAGGCACTATCTCTCGTTCCCGCCAAACGTACATTCTCTCAGCCTCTGAGGAAGAAGACAAAGGCAAATCCCCTTGGAAGAAATCTTAACAGGAAATCTCTTTGAGAGGGTTACCTTAAGGTCAACCTGAGTCTGAAATGACTTCAAGGCACAACAACAACAACAACAACAACAATATATAGTCCAGCTCCAACACCAACAACTTACAGTCCGAGGGACTCGGCTTAAAAAGTCTTAGGGCAGTGTTTCTCAACCTGGGGGTCATTCTTCCCCGCTGGAATGCTTTGCTGGAGTCTTCTTTATGGCCTCATAAATTAGTTAATTTAGCCTCCCCACACTTTAAGCTGGTACCTAATTTTCCTACTTGACAGATGCAACTGTCTTTCGGGTTGCAAAGGTCGACAACAGGCTACACAATTGGTTGGAAACCCACTCCAACCCGGGCTGGCTTTGAACTCATGACCTTTTGGTCAGAGTGATCTTATGGGGGTTCTGTGTGGGAAGTTTGTCCCAATTCTATTGTTGGCGGAATTCAGAATGTTTTTTGATTATTGTTTTGTTGTTCATTCGTTCAGTCATTTCCAACTCTTCATGACCACATGGACCAGCCCACGCCAAAGCTCCCTGTCGGCCGTCACCACTCCCAGCTCCTTCAAGGTCAATCCAGTCACTTCAAGGGTGCCATCCATCCATCTTGCCCTTGGTCGGCCCCTCTTCCTTTTTCCTTCCATTTTCTCAGCATCATTGCCTTCTCTTGACATCTCACCAATAACAGCATCCAGTTTGCTCTGGTTCATAGATCTTACATTCCAGGTTCCTATGGTGTGTTGATCTTCAGAGCATCGGATTTGTCGTTCACCTCCAGCACCGTTGGCCGCTAGCCTTCCTTTCGGCTGAAATGCAGCTGTGCCATAACATCTGGAGCTAGTTGAACTTATCCTCTGCTCCTCCCCAGTAGCATTTTGGCCATCTTCTGACCTGGGAGTCCCATCTTCCAGTGGCATACCAACATATCTCTGGTTGTGCTGGGCCATTTAGTTTTCTTGGCAAGAATACTGGGGTGGTTTGCCATTGCCTTCCCCATGGATCCCGCTTGGTCTGACCTCTCTGCCACAACCGTACGGTCTTGGGTGGCCCATCAAGGTTTCGCTCGTGACATCATTGAGGTGCTCAAGCTCCAGCGCCATGACAAGGCGGCGATCCTTTGCTGGAGTCTTTGATTATAGGTGAACTATAAATCCCAGCAACTACATCTCCCAAATGTCAAGGTCTATTTTCCCCTCCAGTATTCACATTTGGGCATATTGAGTATTGGTGCCAAGTTTGGTCCAGATCCATCTTTGTTTGAGTCCACAGTGCTCTCTGGATGTAGGTGAACTACAACTCCAAAAATCAAGTTCAATGCCCACCAAACCCTTCCAGTATTTTCTGTTGGCCATGGGAGTTCTGTGTGCCAAGTTTGGTTCAATTCCATCATTGGTGGAGTTAAGAATGCTCTTTGATTGTAGGTGAACTATAAATCCCAGCAACTACAACTCCCAAATGACAAAATCAACCCCTCCCCCAACCCCACCAGCATTCAAATTTGGGTGTATTGGGTATTTGTGCTAAATTTGGTCCAGTAAATGAAAATACATCCTGAATATCCGATATTTACGTTAAGATTCATAACAGTAGCAAAATGACAGTTATGGAGTAGCAACAAAAATAATGTTATGGTTGGGTGTCACCACAATATGAGGAACTGTATTAAGAGGTCACGGTATTGGGAAGGTTGAGAAACACTGTCTTAGGATCTTCATAACCACTCCAAGGCGCGCAACACACACTGCTTCCCCCATTTCCCCTCCTGGCATGGGTTTTCCTGTGAGTAGAGTCACAAAGTGAGCCTGCATCTCATGCAAATGTAGGAGGAGAGAATGAGGCTCAGCGGGGCCTAACGGGATTAGATTAATTGTACGTTTCAATCATGTAGAAGATTCAAAGCGACACTTAAAAACCCCTTATCGGAACGCCCGCCGGCTCCCTTATCTACAAAAGTGAATGAACCCTGTGGGTATTTTCACGCTTCTGCTGCTGCTGCTGCGTTTGATGGGGTTTTGCAAGGCAGCTGGAGAAATTATTGTCAACGCAGGCTGGGGGACGTGAAGCAGAAATGGATCCGTCTTTATGGCTTCGGAGTTTGTGACGCCTTTGTCGCTCATGTATTATTATGATGGTAGTGTCTGTTCGGTGGCAAAATTCGGACTCTTTGGAGATGAGTTCTCTTTCTGTTGTATTGTGTATGGAAGCCCTAAGACGAAAATACTGTGTCTTAGGCCTTCCAAGGTTTGTTCCAAAGATGGTCATCTGTCAGGAGGACTTTGGTTGTGTCTTCCTGCCATGAGTAGTGGGGTTGGACTGGACGGCCTTCATAAAGGTGTCTTCCAAGTCCTGGAATCTATAGCCCTACTTTGCCATGAACCCAATGTCTATGGGTCTGTCAGGAGGGCTTTGGTTGTCGGGAGGGCTTTGGTTGTGTCTTCCTGCCTGGCATAATAATGGGGTCAGACTGGATGGCCCTTGGGGTCCCTTCCAGCTTGACTAAGGATTCAAAACCTTGAATTGCCCAAATTCTACACGGTAGAATTCTACATTGTTGAATTAATGCAGTTCAAAAATGGCTCAGTGCTATGGAATGGTGGGACCTATAGTTTTACAAAGGCTACTCTGCCCAAAACACAACTCCCAGGCAATGAACCAAGGTAATGAAAGAGGTGTCAAACTGCATTAACCCTACAGTGCAGATGCACCCTCTTGATTTCCCAGAATTGTAGTACAGTACCCAAACTGTGTGATGAAATGTGCTGCAAAGCATAGGATCCTAGAGTTAGAAGGGACTCCAAGGGCCATCCAGTCTGGCAGGCAGGAAGACCCAACCAAAACCCTCCCAACAGATGTCCCTCCAGCCTCATAGACATTGGGTTCATGGAGAAGTAGGGCTATAGAATCCTAAAGTTGGAAAATATCTTTACGGAGGCCATCCAGTCCAATTCCATTTCTCCAGGCAGGAAGACACAACCAAAGCTCTCCCGACAGATGGCCAGATAGACTCATATACATTGAGTTCATGGATAAGTAGGGCTATAGAATCCTAGAGTTGGAAGGCACCTTTATGGAACCCGTCTAGTCCAACCTCATTCTTCTAGGTAGGAAAGCACACTCTGATCCC